TTCATCTTCCCAAGGACTGAGTTCCTCTAGCTGACAATCTAGCTGGCATTTGCTCTTTTAAATGAATGATGTGCTCTTTTAAATGAGCCAGTTTCCTGGCTTCCCTGCCATTCTGAGCCACGGCAGTGACACCTTGGTGCTCACCATGCGATTCTGTGGCAGAGAAAGGACCTGGAGATGACTGTTCCCCAGGCCCTACGCCTGTGGCTGTGGCTGGTACCAGGGACATGTCTCAGTAAAGCTTTCTATTTCTGTAAGGTTTCTAAGGAGAGAGGAGGTTGCCCTTTGAGCCTAGCTGAGTAAATAGGAAAAATCCTCCTTGCAGGTTTTCCATATGAACAGAATCCCATTCCAGGAGGCTCAGGAGGTATGAGCTGGTCCTAGCTGTGAGGCAGAGTGTGCGACTGCAAATCAAGCGAATGACTTCTGTTTTCCAATATCTTATCACCTCCAGGTGATTCAAACTCAGAANAGCATAGAAGAGCTGTGTCTATATTTCAGACTCTGAGTGTGTGGAGTGTTTGTGTTGATTGCACAATTGTGGGCAACCCCATAGCCCACTTGGTGCCCCTGCAGTTCAGATGCTCTGATGGGTGGTCTTTCTCCCTCAGAGAGCACTTCACTGACTCCTGGCACCAGCACTACCAAGGGCTTCAGGTGAGGTTTGGCTAAACCAGGATGCAGTTCTTGGTGTGAGAGGAGGGGCAGTATCTATTTTGCTGTGTTGCATTTTAATTTTGTGGTAGTAATGATATCACCAGAATCTAGAAGTGGGGGCTTTTGCAGATGTGGAATTAACTAAGCTCTGAACGGGAGCTGCTACTACATTCTGCCCAGTCTCACCCCAGCTCGGCATCCTGGGCCCAGTCAACGTAATTTACAATTCCATCTGACTCTGTGACATCACCCCCGAAATGTGGGGTGGGCCTGGCTGAGCACTCTGCCTGAGCTTTCTGGGTTAGTCTCACCACCACTTCCTTCCCACCTGTTAGTATTGCCTGCCACCCTCCCACACACCATTACTCCTAGATCAGTATTTTCTGTCATTTCATGAAGAACCTTCATGAAG